GGCGAAGCTGTTATCTGTCACACGGGGCTCTGTTGTCTACCTGAAGGGAGCTGCTCATGTTGGTTTGGGAACAAATGAACAAATGTTTTTAGCTTCTTCTTCTGCCTGTCACTCATGTGTTTCCATTAAAAATATCCACACTGAGCAAAAAACACAAAGCAATATTAAATGCTGAACACAACACACACATTCATTTAAACACAAAGGAGAAACACAGCACTAACAGCAGCAAAGCTGGCAGTTTAAGAAAAGTCCTTCAGTTGTGTTTTCATCATTCTGTCTACTTTACTTGAGTCAGGACTAGAAAAAAACATGTTATGCTAAAAACACAAATTCAGACGTATTGACTATCATAACTAGAGATGAAACGATTGATCAAACTAACATTATGAATCGATTATTGAAATAATCTTCAATGAAATTTAATAATCAACTGATTGTTAACTGGATACAGACTCACATAGGACAATTTGTTGAAAGGACACACTCAGAGCAGTAATTACGCTAAAACTGTACAAAAAAATATATATACTGCTCAAAAAAATAAAGGGAACATTTGACTTTAATTTTGTGTGTGGCTCCAAATCCAGGCCTCCATTGGTTAATAAATTTGATTTCCATTGATGATTTTTGTGTGATTTTGTTGTCAGCACATTCAACTTTGTACAGAACAAAGTATTCAATGAGAATATTTCATTCATTCAGATCTAGGATGTGTTATTTGAGTGTTCCCTTTATTTTTTTGAGCAGTGTATTTTTTCCATTAAGAAAAATGAAAAATCTTTATTTGGATAAATATTTTCTACCCAAAACACACATACAGGTGTGACTTCTTGTCACATCTGCACAGATAAGGGAAGGTCAAGCTTCAGAATTTGTAAAAGCCAAAATATTCTGTTAAGTGTCTTTGGTTATCCAGATACAAATTAATTAGTCAAAAAATAATCACCAGATCAGCCCTGCACTGTATTCATAAGTCAAGCAGAAAAGGTGCAGCTTGTCACATGTTGGTGTCAGTAAGATGTATTTAGCTGCAGGTGAATCCTTTGCCACAAATGATCAAGTTTTCACTAATAATGCATTTTAGTCAATTAATTATTTTCTTATTAAGAGAGGAATTAAAACTTTAATTTATTTGTATTTTTTTCAAGTTTTTCTAATATTGTATAAACAAAACTGAAGCGGTAAAATAAAAAGTTTGCCAAATGTGTCAGTGTTTTTATCTGATTAATCATCAGAATAATCAATTACTAAAATGATTGTTTGTTTCAGCCTTAGTCCCAACTTTACAGTAGCGCTATGTTCAGCCATAGTTTGTTCATTGTGATACATGTGTTCAGATCAGAGATGTCTGTTTCCAAAAGGATTGTATTTGAGTGCTAAGTCGCTACTGTAACTCTTATCAGAGCTGTTTTATATGTTGCACATGGTTCAATAAACATTGCAGTACCAGTAAGTCAACTGTGAGATTTTAATGTCCAAAACTCTTCAGCACACAAAAACATGGCTGACATTCTTTTCCACACTGTAGCTCTGACTGTAGAACTGTGTGAGGTCTGTGGATGTTTGTGAGTGGATGGGCCCTGAGGAACACCTGTCACCTGTCCTGGTTCTCCACACAAGCTCTGCTACATTTAACTTCATTCTTATTTTATTATTTTATTTATTCTGTTAAAACAACTTGAATAAATAAACCCAATCGAAAGGGACTTATAAATAATATTTTTTAAAAAAAATTCTATTAGAAGGCAGGATTTATTATTATTATGTGACATAAAATAGGCATAATTCATTAAAATAAAGCATAGAAATGTGGACATATTAAAAGCCCCATCACTCAGCTTAAAGTGGCTATTGAATGTGATGGAGCCCCTTGCTGTGCAAGATTATAGTTTACTTTTGCTGAATTTGACTTTAATATTCAAGCAAGCTCTATATGTAACAAAATCAAATGTGGATGTGGAGTCTTTTAGGAACTGCTTTCAGGCAGAACAGCATGTCAGATTGTTACTCACACCATGAGAACCTTGGTTGGTCTTTAGTTATGGTTGGATCTTATATGATGTCTGCTTGTGACAGGTTTTGTTTCTTTTACAGCATCCAAACAAAGCCTGGTGTCACTCCTCTCGAGTTTAATCAAGGTTGAACACAGTTCTTGGTTTCAACCATTTATTGTGGACATGTCTTTATAAAGCCCCTAAAAAATGCTGTGGTTAAAGCATTTTTGACGTTACTGCGGTAATCAGACACTGGTGGCACTGCAACTGGTAGCTAGCGGTGGAGTGACCAGAGGAAGTTAGCCCCGAGGTTAAAAGAAAAGAACTGGCCAAATTCTGTCTTCAAAAAGCACAAAATGGATGGCAACTGTGGACAGTTAGAAGAAAAGTTACTAGCTCAGTCAGTAGTGATTACAGTACTACTGACTACTGACCAGGTTGAGGTGTGAGCTCAACCTGGAGTAACTCACATAGAAAGAAAGTTTGTTTAACAGGGGTGAATTTAAGTTTTGGCACTGCTGATAGGCTGCAGTAGAAGTGCATGATGCAGCGATTGGATGATGCAGATGAGGCTTAAGTTAGTCTTCCAGTTTGAATTTCACACCTGTGCTCCATGTAACCCGCCTGTGTTTAACCTTCTCCTTGTGTTGTTAGTGTTAGCTCTCATGTCCAGGATTAGATCTCAAAGTTCCAAATGCATTCATTAATTACAATCACATACTTAAATAAATACTTAAATCAATAAACACTTAAATCAAGATCTACTCTGAAACTTGGCTGAGACACAGTCAGTGTCCATATTTAGAAATAATTCTTCTCAATTCCCCACAAATGCCAAAATGACTGGAAATTACTTTTTGATCAAGTTATTTTCTGTTTCATGGCAGATTCAATTATGCTTTTAATTTATTACCATGTATTTACAAAATGATGTGCAAAACTGTTAAAAACGTACCCAGCCTAAGTGTACTCAGAAAGCGAATGTATTAAGTGCTTAACCTTCTCTGTGAGAGCAAGCCCTTTGCTGCAGGGGAGGTGATACATATTTATTCAGAAGACATTAGAAGATCACAGAGTTTGACTCTGACTCCCACACATGCTGCTTTCACATGCTGATGAAGATCCCACAGCTTTCAAAGCCTGTCCTGAGTTATTAGAGCCATGAACAGCCATTGATCTGGAGCAACTAAGTGCAGATGGAAAACACATCTTTACAAGCATTTCATGTTTCTAATTACTGACTTGAAATCTAAACACCAGAGAGCAAAATCCTGGAAATCTGCAAAGGAAAAGAGAGCATTAAGGGAATGATTTCAGCCAGACAGACAGAGGCTGAAACCATCAGACCTGCAGGCAGAATGAACACCTCAGGCTGTGCTAGACTTTTTAGTTGTCTGTCATTCTGACTGAAATTATCATAATCTAGTTTTACCCAATTTTAACTTTTTTCAATAACATTTTTGAAATTACTATGACATATTGAAATGTATTTAATTTTCATTCGGCTTAATTCTCTGAACAGAGAATCCACAAGGTGCCACCTCACATCAACATGCAACTTTGTTCTGCACAATGACAAAAACCACTGACTGCTGTCCCAGTAACTGTCGTTAAACAATGAACTGTGCCCTTAAATTCTGAATGATTGACCTGCAGTGGTCTGAACACACAGCCTCTCATCTCCCTCCTGGTCTGCATGGACCTGAACTGTGCCCCACTAGTCAGACATCTTTGCTGCAGAGGCTTTTGCCATGAGGTTTGGGACTTTTGCTTCAGAGAGACGACGTTTATAGAGGACTGGATGTTGATCTGGAGGCTGAATCCACACTCTGTAGCCACACCTAAGACTGGAATTATAAGCTACATTTGAACCACAGTTTGGAAATCAGGGAACATTTCTCCAAGTGATGTGATCAAAAGTCGACTCTCTGAATGAGGGGTTTCCTTTTGCACCAGCTGCACTGATCTGGGACCAAAGTCGTCTGTCCATAACTCTTCAACACGTTGTCAGCTGAGGGGGCAGGCCTCTCACACTTTGGAAGTCACCAGCAATACTGTGGCGAAATTATGTCATTAAAATTTCAACAAAGCAAACAGGGAATAGAAAACATGAATAAAATGTTTTCAGCTTAATAATCTGTAAAATCTAAACAGAAGGTATTCAAAAAGTGACAGAAAGACACATTTCACTCCACTGCTGAATGGCTTCAATTTAGTAATGTTTCAGCAATTGTGAGCACAAAAGGCCAGCCTATTGAAAACATCTTAAGAGTCTTCCACAGCTATCAGTTTGTCTGTTTGTTAGAAATCAGAACATAAAAGTAACAAAGAACATTCATTGTGACCGTCAGACTAAACAGAGTGAGCCTCTCTCACATGAATACACAGCTGTACGACGGAGGCCGGATTGTTTAGCAGGATATGAGATGATGGACTCCACATGACTCAAAATAATGCTTACATACTTCATGTACATGAACAGCAGAAAATCGATCCTCTTTTTAAATCCTTCCCACTGAATTTGGAAGTACTGGCTCCTTACTGTAACTGTTTTTCTGTCAGTTTTTGTTGTCTACAAAAATAAATACTGCATTAAAAAAAAACTGTGCAACTGAACAGAAATAAGCTCTTCTTCTTTAAAAGCTTTGAGGCTTCTAGTTGCTCTCCCTTTCTACCCTAATCTCATTCAGCCTAGTCACACAAAGAAAAACAACCAACAGTGTTCTCAGTTGAAGGTCACCTTGGCTGCCATCACTGAGAGGTGTTGTGCTCCTATAGCTGCTCCTTCTCGTGCCTCTTCCAACCTCTGAAGAGTCATAAATCAAATGTGCAAATTTAACCTGAGAGGCTGGGGCATTTTGCTGCAATTAAGCTCTTCGACTTTTGATTCCGCTGATTAGTTCCTCCCAAGATATGTTTAAAATCAGTGGGAAAGACTCAGTCAGGGTTAAGGGAATGAGTGCCGGTGTGATGATGCCTGATTGGCTGCTGAGTGCGGCTCACCTGCACAGGGCGTCGGAGCGGCAGGTGCGTCGGAGTTCCAGGCAGGTGGGTTTATGCCTCTCCTGGTGGGAGCAGGAGGGGATGATGGTGCGGCGGCGGCGCTCAGCACACGCCTGGTCCAGGCAGGAGCAGAACAGCAGAGGGTAGCTCAGCTCCCATGAGACCCGCTCGAAGAACTGCCGCAGGGCCTGAGATCGGGAGGAAATTCATTCAGTCTTCAATTAACCAGAGAGTTCTTATTTACAATAACAACCTGACAGGGAAGGGAAACACAACTGATGCTAATTATAACACACACACACACACACACACACACACACACACACACACACACACACACACACACACCCACACACACACACACACATGGCCTTGTAAAATACTCATGGCCCTGGAACTTTTAGCCTACTTGCAAAATGGAAAACTGACCCACTTAAAACATGACAGTGGCAACACTAAAAGGTAGGAGGCTGTCAGCAGGAAAATGAAACACTGTAGCAAATGATGTCAAAATAAATGTTATTACTATAACGCATTTAAAAATAACAAAGATAGCCAAAGTGCTTTCAAAGATGAGCAACTAAAGCAATAGACACTAAAAGATCTGAAGAGACTGAATTCAAATAAAACACCAACCTATTAAAGTGAATTTTCTGTGGATTTAAAGCTGCAGTCAGTAACACTGCCTTGCAGCAGGAAGGTCCTGGGTTCAAGTCCCAGCCTGAGGTTTTTCTGCATGGAGTTTGACTTTTATCCTGTGCATGTGTGTGTTCAGTCTGGGTACTCAGGCTTCCTCCCACCGTCCAAAAACATGGCTGCAAGTTTATTAGTCTCTAAATTCTCCTCAGGTGTGTGTGTGTATGGTTGTTTGTGCTGTGTGTCTGTGATGGAATGGTGACCTGTCCAACCTGACAGACAGACACCAGCCCCCCTCATAACCCTGCAAGGCTAAGCGTGTTACATGATGGATGGATGGATATTTTTTACATATTTTGTTTAAACTATTATGTCATGACAGTATAGTATGAGGCAGATAAGCTGTAAAAACTTTACAGCTTATCTGTAAACAACCTCAGAGTCAGGAGGAGGGTCTTTGTGCTGTCAATCAAGCTTCTGCTCCCACCTTCCCCCTTTGTGTCTACAATGCTACAGTTTGTTCCTCACAATGAACCCATGATTGCTATGGCTAGTTAGCATGGCCTCTGATGACAGCAGATCAACAGAGGTTTCTCCATTATTAGCACATTGAGCTACACCAGTGTGATTGACAGCACTAAGACCATCTTTCTCTGCACTGCTTAGAAACAATGCACAAAGAAGGTGTAAATTGATATTAGCAAAGCAAGCTAGGTAACATTAACAATCTGCCCCTGTGCCAAAATTCATTACCCGGCCTCTCAGATCAATTTGAGAGGCACTTTTGACCATGTTTTACATTTTATTGTGTCATAGTGTGGGACTCTGAAAGTCTCGATTTTGTCTCAGTCTTCATAGACTGTGGTCTTACCCTGAAGAAAGGAAAATATAATTACCAATGTATTACACAATTAATGGGAGCTAGGATGTAATTAATGAATCTTTTTAAGTTTAAGTTGTTTTATTAACTTTTCCATATGCAAGTCAAAAATCAAGAAAGAAACACAATACTGAAAAAAATACTGAGAAAATCTTATAGGGGATGTAAGAGAGTCTTATTCAGCTAGTGACGTTTTATAAAGACTTTGGTACAGACAAATTCCAAGATATTAGAACCAATATGGTTCTGCGAGGTAATCTCAGAAGGCTGAATAGAAAAGCACATTTTAGGTTTTAATAAAACGTTAAGCATTTATTTAGTGTAAGGAAGAAGACAAAACTATTTCCCTAAGTTGCCAATTTATTTAAAGTTTGTTTTTTGTCTGACCAAGGATGGTCTCTCTATCTCCTCCAACACACAGCTTCCCAAGGGAAGACTGAGCTGCGATCACACAACAAAAATATGTTTCATATAATACAACGACGTGAAAACACAATCACAGTGATTGGTGGGAAGACATGGTGAGGTAACCTCTTGCTCTGCTCCCATTGGAGAGTTACCCATTTTTATTATCACATAAAATGTCTTGACCACTTTTCTGAGAAAAGCACCAGTTTCTTTACAGACATACTTTCCATGTGTATAAAGAGAGTGTGGGTTGAATAAATTGTTGATACTTCTCCCCAGTGGCATCAGACAGATAACCTTGTACTGAATGTAAGCTGCACTGAGTGTCAAAAATCCCATTCACCTACTGACTGTCTTAGTGTGTAGAGGAGTGACGACGGACCCAAATGCAGGGAGGCAGAGGTGGCAAGTGGTCCTTAGTAGTTTAATTAAAAAAAAAGAAAAAAAAATACATTTACAAAAACACACAGAACACAGGGAGCCAGAGCAGAACTAAAAACTTAAATCCAAGGAAAAAGAAGGCAAGATAGTGATGGGGAACTAAATAACTTTAGTTTTGGCATATAATTAAACAAAGATACAATTTGAGCTACAAAGTATTTAAAACATGTATTTAGAATTATATGTATTTATAATTTAAAGTATTTAAAACATGTATTTAGAATTATATGTATTTATAATTCTAAATACATGTTTTAAATACTTTGTAAAATAGTTTTAGCAATGGCAGCAGAGGAAGTGAACAAAGGTGTTCAGTCTGTGTTGGTCACGTTTCCAAATAAGCTGTTGATTAACATCAACAGCCTCATTCGGATCAGCACTCCTCTCTTCTCAGTGGAGATCTCCGGTAAGCTTCTTAGCATCAAACTGGCACATTACACATGTGCCGGTTCTATGAAGTTTTACATTTTTAAATTTAAAATTCTCAGAGTCCACGCCTCCAGGAAGCAGTCGTTTCTCAGCAGTTGAGAGCCCAGACCCTCTGGATGATGCCAAGTGTAGAACAAGGGGCTGGTTTTTACCAGGCTACTTTGAGACCAATGCTGTACTGGATCTGAAGTTTTAGTACTGCTCCAGGCCAGTACTGGAACTTCAGTACTGTTTTCTGCACCAACTTCAGAGTCCAGCATTAAACATGTCTGTGCCTACCTTCTGACACCTCTTCCTGCTGCATGGCTCCTGGTTGGTTGCAGGGGCCTGTGGGGGCGTGCCCTTGTTGCAGATAATGTTGTAGGCTGATCGCAGGCGTCTGCAGGTTTCGTTCAGGTAACAGGCTTTAGCTGCATCCACACAGGGGTTACAGGGTTTCCCTGCCTCAGAGCAGGGCCTCATCTTCAACAAGGATGAGTCTGAACAAAGAATACGCAGATGAAAGACAATTTAGGCAGATGTACTGACACAAACACACATTTCTGGGCTGTCTGACAGAGTTAATGGAGGATTGAACATTTTTAGAACTGTGTTTTGGCTGACGTTAAATTGTCATTACTGGCTGCATAAATAGGGGTATTTTGTGTAAATTATCATCAGGCTCATGTCATTAGTCTAATTTATGCCTCCTCTTCCCCTTTTTCCACTGTCCTGCTGCCAGTGACCTGGAAATTATTCCCAGCAAAATATTGTGAAGGATGTGTTTATTTCTGAAATCCACAGAGAGGAGAGAATTAGTGGAGTAAAACAAAAGCCTGATTACATCCAGCTTTTAAGAGCTGTTTGAACAGATCATCAATAAACAGGAAGAACATTCAAATGCATATGAAAAATTTTGTTTTATTTAAGTTTGGGAGAATGTACCCCAGGGTTCTGTTATGTAATGACTAAATATTTGTTCACTTCTTTTAATCGAGATAAAACATGGCCAGTTGACAGGAGATAACTGAAATGTTGGTGTGTTTTTAGATTTTTGCATGAACTTTTTACACTGCTGATTTTGTTGCTTTTTCAGTATGTACTGTGTTGTCCAATACAAATTTCTCATTTCTCCCAAAGGGAGACTAAAAAAATGAGACTTTGACATTCATAAGCAATAGCATGTCACTGTTGCCTCTTTAGAACTTGCCATTTTGGTTGATTCCATATGTGTTCATTTATTCTTATTATTTGTTCTTTGGATTCATGTTTTCTTTTTGTTTCTTGTTGCAGTTGGTTTCAGGCCTTTGTATTCCTTTACTTCTCTTCCTCTGCTCCTTCAGTTCTATCTATCCTTATCTTCACCTGCCTCCCTGTGCAGCTGTTATTCATCTCTGGCTCCCAGGTTATTCTCCACTCCTTCATCAGTGGATGTCTGGCTTCCTTTCTTCATTGTTTTTGGGTTCTTCCATGGAATCACCTACTACTGTTCCTGTTCCGTTCTCACTGTTTGGTCTTTCTTGTCCTCTGCTGCATGTTTCATTGTTTATTTTCTATTAAAAATATGTTCTGCTCTGCTAGTTTCCTGCACTTGAATCCATCTTAAAACCAAACATGACCACGGTATGCAAATATCTGACTTTAACTTATTTGTGTTCAACTAAATAAAAACATGTGCACTACCACCACTTATCTTTCTTCTTTTCATTCATTAAAAAAGGGTTGTGCGTACACATTAATGAATGTGCTGTGCCTTTCATTCTTTGTTACACTTACTCTAAAGTTTCTATATTTATACCTAATGTCTGTTTGCTGTGAGTCTTGGAAAACAAAGTCAAATTTAAGGATTTGCTCACACAGTTTTGGCCAGTAGAAATGATTCTGATTGTGAAATTAGGAAACACCAATTTAGACCATTTAGATGCATAACAGACATCTTTTGGAACAATTCCAGGCAAACATGATTGGAACAAAATATGCTTTTCTACTTTTCCCTTTCCAAAGTCAGTTGTGCAACACAATTCCTTTTTTTTCTCCTGTCAAAGTTACCCTCAGCAGTGAAACTTTGCAAACAGCATCACTCTTTTATCCTGTTGTCCTGGCTGTAATCTACATAAGAACACATCTAAGAGCAGGCAAAATGACTCATTTAAAGATGGGCGTTAGAACAGGAAGGTTTGTGATTTTAGATGCGTACTTTTCATAGGTGTCAGGCAGACTATGACTAATGAAAATCCCACAGAAATGGCCGGGATGTCTGAGTGGTATTTACAGATTGTTATTCAGTTTAAAATAAAAAAAAGTTCTAAACATTTTTTAAGTTGATCTCATGTCTGAACCACTGAAATAAAACCTAAATACACAAATAACTGAAATCATTTTATTTAAGGAAGTGCTTTAATATTGCAACAACACAAAAGCTCAATCTTTATAGTTTCATTTAAGTTTGAAATTCCTCTTGCATGTCTAACATTTTGTTTCACTTTCATCACAGTTAGTTTGTGACTATTCTTTTTTTATTTATTCTTTTTTCCTCTTCAGTTTATCATATGAAACTTTGGTAACACTTTATTTGAAGGGGGGTGAATAAGACTGTCATGACACTGTCATAAACATGACATGTCATGAACATGAATAAGCCTTCATGAATATTTATGACTGTTGTCATAAAGCGTCATTCGGTAAATTATGACACTTTTAATACAAAGTTGACATTATTCAAAATGTCTTTATGACAACTTGACATTAAACAAGAAATCATTACTGTTTAAACTTTAACTTTAATAATATAAAGTTACCTAATTCTTAATGTGCAATCAGTAATACTTTTATAACAAATTTAGATCAGTAATGATTTCTTGGTTAATGTCAAGTTGTCATAACAAAGACATTTTGAATAATGTCAACTTTGTATTAAAAGTGTCATAATTTACCGAATGACGCTTTATGACAACAGTCATAAATATTCATGAAGACTTATTGATGTTCATGACAGGTGTTATGTCATGTTTATGACAGTGTCATGACAGTCTTATTCAACCCCCTTCAAATAAAGTGTTACCCAAACTTTTTGTTACTAACGTGTGGCTTGCCATTTTATTTTCTTTAAATTTTCAGTAATGACAAAAAAAACCAAATAGCCATATTTCTGCGTTTTAATTCAAAACATCACATGCAGCAAAGAATTATGGGTAACATACGTCGCTGAAGTCCGCCAGAAGTGAGGAAAAAGGGCATAAAAAGGGCAGGACTAAAGATGAAATCGGAGACACACTACACACTCAAACCCTTCAGCATGAACATGTACTTCATGGTTTATTTAATGATTGGAAACATTTAAGGGTGAGAAGAAAAAGCAAAGATAAAAGGAGGAAATCTGTTAAAGGGCAAATATCTCCTGCAGCCTCATCAATCATCTGCTTCACTTGTTGAAACATGAAGGAAGCCGATAGGTTGGTGTAAATAATATACTGTAATTCATAAACAGTGACACAACTGGAAAGGTTAATAAACAAGTGTTTTAAGATGGCAGACATCCACTTTGGTCTTGGTCCACCTTGGATTAGCTGTTGACTTAATTCCCTCAGGAAAACCTGCCTCTGTCCAATCAGAACAAAGACATTGACGGAGTTCTGCATTGCAGGTAAGACATTAATTGCACACAACTACCCTAGAGAGCCCCATGTAAAAAATATAAACAGTGCCTTCAAGTTTTAGTTTAGAGATTACTAAGAGGTGAAGGCAGGTGGTAATGTAGTCAGGTCCACAAAGCTCACACTGTTAAAGCAAATAACAGCTTATGTCTCTGACTCTAACATCACTCGGTCCATCTGTCATAAAAATATTGCCATTTGCTACATGATTGTACTGAGAGGAATCAATTTTATTATTATTTTTGTGAGGGGAAAAAATAATTATTTTCAGATGCACATAATGAAGTGAGTCTCATCTGCCATGTAATGAGATGGATCCACTGGGCTAGATGCTATTTTAAAAGGTCACCCTTCTATAATTGAAACCAATTAAATATTACTTTGCAATTACCCAACAGGCAGTTATTGTTTTACTGTGTGCTATTCTAAACTGCATCAAGTTCTGGTCAGGATATGCATTGACCTTATGAATGTAATCTAACTCTGGGCTTTTGTTTGAATTGTACTGTTTGCAGTGTGGGATGAATGATGAACATAAAACATAAGAACTCAGCACAAGAAGTTTGAATTTATTATGGGCCTTTTGAACACAGTGTCAAAAACTAGACATAAAACTTAAAATGTTGTTAGAGTCTCTTAAGAAGAAAGTAACTTGCATGTGGTCAAGTTGCATCATGAGGACATGATTAGCCAAAGTACCATCTACTCAGAGTGTGGTTAATTCCCCATAATTCTGTGTGCAGTTAACCATAGAATTGCGCAACTTGTAATTATGAAAATAAATCTGCTTAATATAAACATGGCAATATCAAAAAAATCCTCGTTTTTGGTAAAAAGTTTTTGGATGATGTAGTTTTTATTCGGATCGAAACACTTTTTTCGCATCACACAAGTCATGTGATCAACTGCCGGATGTTACCACAGGTGAAAACGCCAAAGAAAACAACAGGGAGTAGGAGGAGGTTAATGGTTTGTGTTTGTTTCTTTCGGACAATGTGTTCAGAATTACTTGGAACTGAGTCTCAAGACCTGCTGTGTGAATGTAGCTTAAATCTCAGCCAGCTTCATCATTTCAAAAGCTCCTTTGAAATTAAATAATGTATCTTCAACACCCAATTGTGAAGTCATCTTGCAACTGATTTAAGGGAGAGTTGAACAGAGGAGGTGCTCCTCTTTATTCATTATTCAGTCTACTTTATGCATCTGTAAGTAGTAGCACAACCTGCCCCGTGGAATGATGTCGACCGCTCGATGAACACCTTTGTCAGTGTAGCTAAACACCTCAGTCTTTGTTTTATCTGGCCATGAAACGTCTCTCCAGAAGTTAATAAGTTGTTCTGGACCATAAATATCTGTTTAGTTTATATAATACAGTCACTGTACACTGAGAACAGTCAAATCCATTAAATGTACTGAAATTATTAGGCCTTGTAAAATTCAAAACTGTAAAAATTATGTTCAAAGTAAGAAACCAGAAATTTTCACACAATATGCAAAAAATGTGACACATTTGGGGGGGGGGGGTATAATTTCAGAAGTGAATAAAACAAGCAAACAAAAACAGCTATGTATTAGCACAACCAAAAAGAGCTTTTGAACATCAGTGTGTTGAATCGGTTTATGGAATGGACTAAATGATGAGCTCAAACAAAGTATAAATGTAAGCCAACTTTAAAAAAAGAAAGCTTATTGGGAAATATGTTGTATAGGATGGTTGTCTCAAAGACCAAAAATGCTATTGTTGATATTAAAAATGTATAAGAAGCGAAGAGTTTATCTGCTGTGTGGAGACTAAAATGTTTGTATGTTGATGAGTATGAAAGGAGATTACTAACAATAATCATAGAATCTTGAATTTCAACCTGCTCCTTTTTCAA